CTCTGTAACTACTGCTGCCTTATTTTGGTCTACTTCTTTATACAGTCTATGGATTGAACATATTGAATACATCATGTTACTATTAGTGCTTTCTAGATTCTAGAATGTGATGCCATTCTTTCAGGTAGGGTGGGTGAATGAGCCAAGTTTTCCTATTAATTATATCGTATTCTCATGAGAAATATCCAAAAGGTAAATTCACAAATGCTAAACCTGATCATTTCTTTTAGTTACTAGACCCAAGAACTATATATATACACCACATATTCTACCCCACCCACTTTTTTTTCTAAATGCTCCTAAATTGAGCTTTTTTGTGGTGGCACTTCTGGTTAAACGGGAATCCCATTCATGTCAGTGGAGAATTTGGGAAACATTTGCATCTTAAATATGATATAAAGTAGGTTAATTTGTGTAAAATGTTCAGTTTTCATGTGCACCAACAAGTCAACACTGCACTGATTCTCTGCAGGGCTTTAAAAGCAGTTTTGTCATCTGTATTAAACTTACTTGCTCCCATACAGCCCCATACAAAATAATACAACCCGAAAGATGATGACAGTGCCCACAGCAACTTCCAGAATAAGGTGGATAACAATATTAATTTTAGCTGCCCATGGTCTGTATTAAATATTAATATCCTATTGAATTTTGTGATGTTACGTAAAACCCAGCAATTGCCATAATATATATTTTTGCAGCTTAACACACTGCACTACTTGAATGGTATTCATATGAATTATATGAATAGATTTTCACTGTAAATGGTGCTTTGGTCTTTGTTGTGGTGTCAAAAAAACTGAACAATACTGTATAATAATTAACAGCAGATATTTTATAACATAATAAAATGCAGGTTTCAGAGGCTGCAGTTAGGAGTCTGTTCCCAATTGGTACAGTTGGAACAAGGTTGGAGATGGTTCTCAAAAATTCTCTACTCTAGGTGCAAACACTTGAGAGCTAGAGCAATAGAAATGTGAAACTAAATTTGAACTTGACGTGGCTTGACATGACATCTCTTTTGTAGGCTCTCAACAACCCAGCATTGAAAGGCGCAACATACCAACTTGCAGATGGGACCTATATTGTTGATCCAAACAAACCCAAGTCTCCAAACCTCGCAGCCGCTCTGCAGAACCCCTATCTGAAGAGTGCGTCCTACACCCTGCCAGACGGAACCATCATCATCGACCCACGCAAGCCTGTCGGACCAAACCTGTCCAATGTTAGTACCTGTCTCTTACTTATGTCACTGTTAGAGAATGTTATATGCCAAAATATAGAAGACCACACATACAATTTTATTTTATGCCGGGCCTCATGTGAAAGCTCAGAACCTCTAGAATTCCCTCACTGAGCTGCAGAGGCTGCACTAGCACTGATTCATGATTGACTGCTGGTGCTGAGGTTGAGGAGTATTCAGATTACAAAGTCCTTTTAGCTTTAAACCAACTTGATTTTGGTGTTGGAACTGGCAACCCAAATGTTGAAGCTTGTGAAACGAAACACCAAACAACATGAACAACTTTGTCATCATGTACAATATTTTATTTGTATTCATGGGTAAATCATCATTACAATTGTTTTCAGTAAGAGAGTTGAGAGTAGAGAAAGTTAATTGCTATATGAATGTGACCATTTTGTACATTTTACTATGGTTTTACCTCATATCTGGAGAACCAGATACAACTTTAATATAAATTGTGCACACTCTACTTTTAAAGGTGCACTATGTAATTTTTTTAGTTGGGGTCTGTCACCTGCTTGTCTCTGTGGATATGTCATTGCTCTGCCTGGAATGTTCCACAGTATGACATTAAAAAGCTCTACCTTATATTTGTTCAATTACAGGTGGTTTTATAATTAAAAAATACCTAGAAAAACAGGCATTCTGACTGTGAGCAGGATTTGTACTCCACAGATCTGACCTGTAACTTGTTCTGGTTTGGTTTACGTGATGATAGAAAGGTTTAATACCATACTGTGAAACATTCCAGACAAAGTAATAACATCTCCACGTAAAAAAAAGCATTTGACAGAGCCTCCACCAGAAAAATCACACAATGCATCTTTAAAATCAAAACAAGTGTATCAAAATAATCTAATAATAGTATCTTAATACTAAACTCCGTTGCAGGCTCTTCTCAATGAACACCTTCGTAAAGCCTCGTACCAGGTTCCTGATGGAGCCCTGCACATCCCGGGTCAGAAGCCCAACTTGTCATTCGCCTTACGTCAGAATCGTCCCCTACGCAGCACTGGCCTGTATCACCTCTCCGACTCCTCCATTCTGTCAGGAGTGCCCAACCCTATCCCTCCCAACCTCTCCTCAGCTATGCAGATGGATGGGCTGCGTGGGATCAAGTTTAGGTGAGGATGTCAAATTCATATCAGGATTATCAGCAATAGAGGCAGGAGACAGAGGTGGGAGATAGGGCTGTCACTGTAACCGCAATATTGTATGAGCAATCACAGCGCATGAGAGTTCAGGCGACTAGAGTAACTGCTTATTAATGAGGCTCCATTCACATGTCCAGCATGCCTGGAGCATTGTTTGTGTAGTTTCATGCGTAGCTATAAAACTATTCATAAGGTGTCTGCTCCATGCACCCAAAACACCCTGCACCTTTTTCTCGACTCTCTTGCTGTTTTCATTTTCAGAAAGGGCAGGCTTGGTGAACAGTTTGGTCAATAATCACTGTTGCAGTCCTTGATGTGTAACTTGACACATCCATTTAGATTGAATGGGGACTTTTAAGGGACGCACAGTGCATACATGTGTACCC